TTGCCGTGGTGCGGCCGCCCGGACACCACGCGGATCCATCCACGGCCATGTAAGGCCCCTCCCTCCCCGAGGGAGCCCCAAAAGCACCTCCAGGGCTCAAACCCACCCCAAACCCCCCCTGGGAGCCACCCCTGCCCCGGGGGGAGCTCGGGAAGGGCACGAGGTGACTCCCACCCCTCTTGCCAGGGGATTCTGCTTCTTCAACTCGGTGGCCATCGCTGCCAGGCAGCTGCAGCAGAAGGGGAAGCTCAGCAAGATCCTCATCGTGGACTGGGTGAGTCCCCTCTGTCCCCAGGATGTCCCCAGGATGTCCCAGCTCTTGTGGGAGCGTGGCTGGAACCCCTCAGGACTGGGGAGCAGGAGCAGATCCTGCTCTGGGGGACCCAGCCCCGGCTGCTTTGGGCTCTGTGGGGTTCTGGGGCCGCCCAGCAGCTGCCAGAACCCTCCGTGGGTGTCCCTGCAGGACGTTCACCACGGCAACGGGACCCAGCAGATTTTCTACAGGGACCCCGAGGTTCTCTACATCTCCCTGCACCGCCACGACGACGGCAACTTCTTCCCGGGCAGCGGGGCCGCCGACGAGGTGGGACAGAGGGGACAGAGGGGACAAAAGGGACAGCAGGACACAGCAGGACACGGGGGCTGAGCGGGGACAGGGCCCTGGGGGCTCCTTTCCCACCCCTGACCCTGCCAGCAAAGGGATGGGGATGGATGGAAAGGCAGGAAAATCCCAGAGGTCCTGACCCTGCTGTGGCACCGGGGAGGGGGGACAGGAACCCCAAAATGCTGAGGGGGGGGGTTGGGAGCCCCAAACACCCTCCCATGGCAGAACAGAGGGCTGGAACCCCCAAACACCCTCCCATGGCACAGGACAGGGGATTGGGACCCCCAAACACCCTCCCATGCCACAGGACAGAGGGCTGGGACCCCCACCCAGCTCCCCCAGAGCCTCACCCTGTCCTTGCTCCCTCCCAGGTGGGCGCTGGCCCCGGCGAGGGCTTCAACGTCAACGTGGCCTGGGCTGGGGGGCTCGACCCCCCCATGGGGGACCCTGAGTACCTGGCTGCCTTCAGGTACTGTCCCCATGCCTGTGGGCCGTGCTCTGGGTGGGGCTGACCCTGTTCNGGCCACCCTGGAGGAGCTGCAGTGCGTGCACAGCGAGCGCCACGTGCTGCTCTACGGCACCAACCCCCTGAACCGCCTCAAACTGGACAACGGCAAGCTGGCAGGTGGGTGCCACCCTGGGCAGGTGGGTGTCACCCTGAGCAGGTGGGTGCCACCCTGGGCAGGTGGGTGCCACCTCGGGCTGGCCCCCAGCAGCTCCCCTGGGTGCTGGTCCCACCCTGGTCCTGCCTGCCCAGCCCTGATCCCCTCTGGTCCCTCTCTCCACAGGGATCCTGTCCCAGAGGACGTTTGTGATGCTGCCCTGTGGAGGGGTGGGGGTGAGTGTTCCATCCCTGAGCTGGGTTTTGGGGTCGCCGCTCCATCCCTGATCCAGGTTTTGGAGTGTGGGGGTCATTGCTGAATCCCTGCTCTGGGTTTTGGGGTTCCTGCTCTGCCCTTTGGGCAGGGCTGTTCCTTTTTGGCCCCTCAGGATCTCGGGGCAGCTCCCAAAGCCCCTGGGCCGCCTGGGTGGGGGTGTTTGATGGAGGTGTTGGATCAGAGCAGCTCAGGGTCCTTGGGGATGTCTGAGAATCACACTCTGGAAAGGGATCCTGGATCCAGGGGGGCTGGCAGGAGGGGATCCCCACTGAGGGAGGGCAGCAGTGACACTGGGACAGCAGCTCGTCCCTTCTGAGGCCTCTCCATTCCCAGATTTCTGTCCTGGTTTCTCTGCATTCACTGCCTCCTTCTCTCCTCCTGTCCTGTCCCTGTCCCATCCCTGTCCCTGTCCCTGTCCCTGTCCCATCCCTGTCCCTGTCCAATCCCTGTCCCTGTCCTGTCTCTCTCTCTTTCAGGGCTCCTCCTGCTGCCTCTTCTGGCTCTGCTCCTCTCCTTGCTGGGCTCCAGCTCTGCTTTCCCTGCTCTGCCTCTTTCCCTGCTCTGTTCCTGGTGCCCCTCTGGGCATGGGAAGCTCTCACCCAGCCTCAGCTGAAGAGATTTCTGACTTTCCCGGCTCTGACGTGGTGCTGGTGTTTGGTTAAACACTAAAATGGGATAAAGCAGGTAAAGGAGGGCGCTGGGCAGGGAGGAGAGCGTGGGGTGGCCAATGTCACCTTAGGCTGGCACAGGACACCGATCCCTGCTGGGCGAGGCCGCTGTCCCCAGTGCTGTGTCCCCCTGTGACCCGTGTCCCTCCGCAGGTGGACAGTGACACCATCTGGAACGAGCTGCACTCGTCCAACGCCGCGCGCTGGGCCGCGGGCNCCTCCCTGCCCAGGACACCAAGGCGCTGGCCCTGCCCGTGCAGGAGCAGCCTAAGCCACACTTCACCACAGGTATGGTCACACTGCGGGGCTGTCACTGCTGGGCGGGGACAGGAGGGGACCTGGGGGTGTCCTGAGGTGGCTCCACATTGGTCTGGCTCAGTCCTGGAGTTGGGAGTGACAGGAGACAGCTGGGGGGGCCCCTTCTCCTTATCTTGGGGGGCTTTTCCAGGCAGGGTTTGCCCACCTGGGCCCCGGCTGCATTCCTGGGGTTTGGGGCAGAATCTCCCAGGATTGGGGTAGAATCTCCCGTGGTTTGGGACAGAATCTCCCGTGGTTTGGGGTAGAATCTCCCGTGGTTTGGGGGCAGAATCTCCCATGGTTTGGGACAGAATCTCCCATGGTTTGGGGGCAGAATCTCCCATGGTTTGAGGGCAGAATCTCCTGTGGTTTGAGGGCAGAATCTCCCAAGGTTTGGGGACAGAATCTCCCGTGGTTTGGGGGGATTTTGGTCAGCATTTGGGGTCTCGGAGCCCCTGCAGAGGAGCTGAGGGTGCAGCTCTGGCGGTGCCTGGCAGGGCTGGTTTATGACTCGGTGATGCTGAAGCACCAGTGCTCCTGCGGGGACAACAGCAACCACCCCGAGCACGCGGGCAGGATCCAGAGCATCTGGTCCCGGCTGCAGGAGCGGGGCCTGCGCAGCCGCTGCGAGGTGAGCTCAGAGGGCTGGGCCCTCCTCCATCCCTCCTGAACCCATCCTGTCCCTCCTGAACCCGTTCCATCTCTCCTGAACCCATCCCATCCCTCCTGATCCCGTTCCATCACTCCTGATCTCACCTGATCCCACCCAATCCCTCCTGATCCCATTCTGTCCCTCCTGAACCCACCTGATCCCTCCCAAAACCATCCCATCCCTCCTTAACCTATTCCATCCCTCTTGATCCCCTTCCATCCCTCCTTATCCCACCGGATCCCTCCTGATTTCATTCCACTACTGATCCCATCCCATCCCATCCCATCCCATCCCATCCCATCCCATCCCATCCCATCCCATCCCATCCCATCCCATCCCTTCTATGCTGTCCCTCCTGATCCCATCCCACACCTCTTGATCCCAT